CACGTGATATACGATCGTTCTGCAAATCTCCGATATGTGCGTTACACTGCACGTGCATTGTGCGACGTTCCCTTACAATTATGGTAATATTTACGTACAGTACAATTAGTTTATATATATGAAAGCGCAAATCTATATGTATACATACGTATATATATATATATTAAAAATTTGTAACACATTCAATAATTTTCAACGGTTCCTTTAGCATAGTTTTCGATGAATTAGTGAATTCATCAATTTTTTAGTGAGTTTTTCGATGTTTCTTTAGCAAATTCTTTGCTTACATTTCTTTGAAGGTTAAGCGATTATAAATCTATATGCAATATAAATAATTGTACGTAATAAGGTTAGTAAGTAATAAAGCATATAGATAAATATGTAAAAAATATATAAATTCAGATGGATAAAACTGGTTACGTACACTATTGATGCAAATCAACGTATAAATTAATTCATCATATTGCGAATGGTCTGATTCAGGATAAACACGCTTTAAAACTCCATTATCTTTTTCTTTTCCTTTTGAATAGGGTGACCACCTGCTTGGACACTGAATACCAGCTTTTTCATTTAAAATTGATCGTATTCTATTATGCTTTAAATAAAAATTTAAATTTATTAAATAAAGTAAAATAATTTAAAAATTTAATAAGGTTACCTCATCTGAGCGCCAATACATTGGTGCGACAATTAATTGCTTTTTGTCTTGTAGGTGAAGTTCTTGATATTCTTCATCCGTTAGTTCTGGCGACATACAATGTTTATGAAGTATAAGTTTAATTTCTTCTTTTGGATAGTGCAAATCTTCTTCATCGGAATATTGATCCAAGACTTTTAATAATGCTTTAGATTTCTAAAAAATAAAATCTAAATTGAAGTTTGAAATACACATTTAAAACTTAGAAAAATTTTTTCTTATGAGAGTAAGACGATTATCATGACGTTGTTTAATATTTTGATTATTAAAAGCATCAGGATTCTTTTTTAAAGCGAGATAATCTTTATGTAAATGTTGAAAATATTGAACCACAATGTCCATAATCACTTCACATGTCCAAGGTTGTTCAGATGCTAATTCTTAAAAAAAAATATTTACATATAACAATTAAAAAAAAAAGAAACTAAAATAAGGAATTACTAATACCATTAGTATTTTTGCGAACTTCCCAATCTTTCATAAAATAATCTACATATCATTCAATAATAATTGGATTATTTTCAGCAGTAGGTGTATTGGTAATATCTGAAAGATATTCTTCGCCGACTGTTTGATTTGTGCGCAAAGTTTTATTATCATACACAATTTTTTTTTATGATGTAATTTGATCTTGCGATGAAGATAACGAACTAAAGTAGGATGTGTTTCATAATAAGAGAATCTTGTATCTAGTTTAATTACTAGTTTAGCTTTGTTTTTTTTATATATTATCATTTTTTTGCAATTAATTCTTTATTCTGAATAGGTTCCTCTTCATTTTGTTTATTGTAAGTCCTTTTTTTAATTCGTTTAATAGCTTTCGGATACCGAAATGAAGAAAAATAATTACTTTTGTCATGAGTATTATTACGATCTTTTAACAACTCTTCAAAAGTATTCAACTTGTCGCTAATAAGGTCATTATGATCATTTAGACTAACTAATTCAGCATTAATCATATTGACTAATTGCCTGTTATTATCTTCTTCAGAACTATCAAATCCTCTTTGTCAAACAATATTTGTCAATTCATTTGTTTTATTTTGTTGATTTGCGAATTGTAATCTGATTTCTTCTTTGATGTTTTTCAATAGTTGATTCTGATCATCTAGTCATTTTTGTTGTTTGATGTATTGTGACTTTACAAGATCTTCAAGAGATTGTATTGCTGTATATATTTGATAATTAGTTATTTTAGACATTGTAATCAAGAATTTTGGTTTGTTGTTTGCAATAAATAATGAGAAGAAAATTCATAGATGAAAGTTACAAGTAGAAGAGTAAATTATTTATATATTGTTTAAATCAGATAAACAATTACATATTTATTACGAGTTTATATCATATTTAATATCTGATTAAAACTCACAATATGCAATACATATTAGGATACATTTTACATAGTTACTTCAATCAAGAAAAAGAGTGTTGGGTTAATAAAATGAAGAATTATATTGAAAGTTGCAAGCTAATAAACATGTAGCATATATAATAATGTAGATAATTAGGTACATTAAAATTATACGAAGCAGTAAAGGTAAGATATATAAAAATAATATAAAACAGTTCCTTATTTTGTAACATACTATACAAAAAAAATAGAAATAATGTAATTCAAGTATGATCAATAATTATTATCTCTAGAACCTATATAAATCTGCTTCACGACAACAATAAAATAAGATTTTAGATCAAGTATAATAATTAATGATTATCCCTCTAAACTTGTTTGAAGTTGCTCTAAGATTAAATAAATTTACAAATCATATACCAAATCGGGCATGGATCAAAAAGTATGACAATAAAATAAGGTTTCAGAACAAGTATAATAATTAACGATTATCTCTCTAAACTTGTTTGAAGTTGCTTCAAGATTAAATAATTCGCAAAGCATACACTGAATCGGGCATAGATCAAAAGTATAACAATAAAATAAGGTTTTAGATCAAGCATAACAATTGACGATTTCCCTCTAAAACCTGCAAAACATACACCAAATTAG